AAGCGCTCGCCTGCCGAACATCTTCCGGGATTAGAATCAAAGCACTGAAAGTACTGTTGGAAGGAAATTTTCATAGAAATTCCCAATGCGTGTGAATTAAAAACAAAGGAACAGGTGCAAGCTTCAATCTACAGCTTGCTGATTTGATGACGTAAAATGTGACGTCATTGTTTCCGTTTTTGCACTACTCATGGGCTGATAACTAGTTATTGGCCCAGGGCCCCAAACCCATAAGTTGTGACACTCATAATCAGTTGAAATCATAGGCAATTCTGTTACTAATATAGTAATAAGTGAATTAATAGATAATACTACTGCATTATGAACACAAAGAACCACTCAGTTTGACCTTAATCGGCCATGACTTATATAACTACTTCATAGGAATCAAGACCATGCCATAAGCATTATTTAATCATAGTTAATGAAGAGACTTTTTATTTTAAACTCAAGGACAAGAAAAGCTCATCATGTGCTTACATTTGTAAGTTCAAACATAACTAATTGTGTTTTAGTATGAAATTGATGTACATGCTGTTAAAGTCATAGCAAAACAAAGAACAATGATTTAAAATAAACTTTTATTGTCAAAACTTGCATAAAAGTAAAAATATATGTGATATAAAAAATAAATGATTAAATATATGGAGAAATTGAAATTTAGTTTGTCAGATAAAATGTGTAAAAGGAACTCCACTGAGGTTTTTTGACATGATGAGACTGAAATTTATTTTTCTAGATTAATGTACCACTTTATGTATGTTTTGACCACTAATCTTTGAGAAAAATTTCAGATCATTTGCGCACTTCCTTTTTCAAGAATAATTATTCAAATTGTAAAAAAGTGACCCAAAATGAAAGCGTTTAAACACATTTCACGCAAATCAGGCTGAGAAAAGCATAAAAAAATTGATTTTCAATTTATTTCAAAGTATATTTCTTCACTATCTGTGCATGTATTTCTGTATCAAGTGCCCCGGCTCATTTCTGTAGAAATTCAAATGTTATGTTTTAGGCTTTTAAACCTCAATGGACTGAGTCCCTTTAAATTATTGGTACATATTGACGTGACACAAGTTATAACAATCTGAATGAAAGAAGCTTTAATGCAAATGGCCAGTAATATAGGAGGTGCTGTTTTAAGGATTTTTTACATACAAGACTTACATTATACAACAAAATATAGTCAAAAGTAATAATGTGCCCATAGGACTTGAATGCCTGCGTTAAGAACAATGCTTATATTGAGTGGGTAATCAAAATATGTACATAATTAGACAAGCCCACTGGCAGCATATATCAAGCCTGTTGCCATTATTCAGAACTGAACCTTAAAGCTTCAGATTGGGGAGAAAGATGTATACGTAAGTGAACATTTGTGATAAATGTTATGTAAATCCAGCCATGTATATAGAAATATACTCTCACGTTTTAAGTTATTATTTGACTTTTGATCCAAAGTAGTGACCTTGATTTACAGACACCTGATTTTTCATACTACTCCAACTCACTAAAGACTGTTAAATTTTGTCCAGAACTATATGAAAAATCTTTATAGATTTCAAAAGCATTCAAATATTATCAGTTATAAATCAATTTTTGCATATGATTTGGTAAGGAAGGCATAATGTTGTATAAATTTTGTGGAATGTAACTGAAATCATACTTGACCAGTGTTTTGATATATTGTTGAATATACCAGTTATAAATTGAATCCTTAAAAGGTGTACAAATCTTATTGGTTGGAAACCAAAATTTCAGTGGAAATTTCACATACTGACCGGACTGACAGACAGGGTAACACTTAATGCCCTGTCACCATTCTTTAAATGGCATGGGCATATAAACATAGAACAGGTTAGCTTACAAGAGCATTTCTGTTTCATATTTTACTAGGTAAAGTACAAAGAAATGATATTTTTATAATTTTATGAGCCATCACATCAAACCGTGATCAATGTAATATGAAGTATGGGAAAATAAGTAACAAGAAGTGCATGTTTAACTAAAACAGAATGTATGATTCAGAGGAACACTGTAAAAATAAAGGAAATAATGTTAAAAAAAAACAACAACAAAAAAAAACATAAAAAAGTTGACCATCATTTGGACTTTCATGAGTTGGCCATGCTAATCTTAAAATAAGAACATTAATAAAATACAACATTATACAAAAGGTAGTACAAAAAATACAATGATCAAAAGTTTGAAAGTGAACACTTGTTGGTAAAATAAAGAAGAATTTGTAACAGAGATACCAACATCCCCCGCCTCAGGGAAGTATTATATGAAGCAAAAAATTGTGCTATTTCAAAAGATTGAGGCAGGGATCTAAGGATTTTAGTCCAAAATTATGATCAATGCTAGATCTGCAAATGCAACAATAAATTTATTAAAGAAATAAAATGAAATACTGAATTTCAAAATATATCATGTTAAGCTTTGCAGGGATTTTTTTGGCTTATTTTATAGCCGTTATTGGGACATATTCCCAATTGAAAATAGTATATTATTTTCCCAATCCAAAGGAAAATATTCCCAATTGAAAGTTACAAAAATATAAATATTGAATAAAGAATTCTAAAATCTTTGAAAATATAGGGCTTCTTTACTGTAATAGTGTTTAAATGTTTGAAGAAGCCATCCTAGGCAGTGATTGCTTGCATACATTTAATCACTGCAAACTTTCAGTCATGCATTTTTTCCCAATTTTAACAAAATATCGCTAAATTCCCAGTTGCATGGGTATGGGTTATGTCCCAAAATCCTGGAAAAAATCCCTGCTTTGACCTCTTAGTGTGACCTTGACCTTGGAGGTAGGGGTGCAGGTGCTGTGCATGACATATCATCTTATCATTGTGACTACTTGTGCCAAGTATTTTCCAAAATCCCTTCATCTATGAAGAAGTTATGGACGGGGCATAAAATATACCATATAAAAGACTTTGTTACCTTTATACCTGTAAGTGTGACCTTGACCTTGGAGGAAGGGGTGCAAGTGTTGTAACTGACATATCGTCTTATTATTGTGACTATTTGTGCCAAGTTATTTCAAAATCCCTTGAACTATGAAGAAGTTCTACATTGGACACAATATATACCCTTTAAAAAAAACAATGTTAATTTTTTACCTCGAAATGTGACCCTTACCTTGGAGGTAGGGATGCAGGTGATGCGCATGACACATTGTCTTATTATAGTGAATATTTGTGCCAAGTTTTTTCAAAATCCTTTGATATACAAAAAAGTTATGGACCGGACAAAAAAATACCCTATAACAGGCTATGTTAATCTTAGACCTCCAAGTGTGACCTTGACCTTGTAGGTTGGTGACCGATTGTTGCGCATGACACATCTCATTGTTGTGAACAATTGTGGCAAGTATTTACAAAATCCCTTCAAAGATAAGAAAGGTATAGACTGGACACGAGATATACCCTCAAATGGACAATGTTGACCTTGAGTGAGCAAGTGTGACCTTGACCCTGAAGGTAGGGGTCTGGTTGTTGCACATCATCGTCTTACTTTAACAAACATTTGTGCCAAGTTATTTCAAATTCCTTCAATAAATGACAAAGTTATGGACCGGACACGAAATATACCCTGTAACAGGCTGTGCTAATATTTGACCTCCAAGTGTGACCTTGACATTGGAGGCAGGTGACCTGTTGTTGAGCATGACACATCTTCTCATTATTGTGAGAAATTGCGGCAAGTATTTACAAAATCCCTTTAGAGATAGGAAAGTTATAGACCGGACACGAGATATACTTTCAAATAGAAAATGTTGACCTTGAATGAGCAAGTGCGACCTTGACCCTGGAGGTAGGGGTCTGGTTGTTGACATGACTCATTGTCTTATTATAACAATCATTTGTGCCAAGTTATTTCAAATATCTTCAATAAAAGCTTGAAGTTGATAAAGATTTGTTCATACATATTTCAACAAGAGGGACATGTATATATAGGCCCCTGGAGCGGGGCCAGTTTAAACCCCAGGGCTTTTATTTGACCAAACTTGTAAGACACCCGTTAGAAGATGTTTCATGATGTTAAGTTTTTACTACACACATATAATGTAAAACAAAGACCTCTGCACCACCCCCCACCCCGGCATGGCCAATTTTTATACAAGGGCTTAAATTTGAACAAACCTTGTCAACACCATAAGATGTTTCATGCTAAACATCTAGGCTCTAGTTCATTGGGTTTTTTAAAAGAAGATTTTTTAAGTTTTTACTTTACACAAATAGTTAAAAACAATGAAACCCCTGGGGCGGGGCCAGTTTTGACCCCAGGGCTTTTATTTGAACAAACCTTGTACACACTTACCAGAAGATGTTTCATGCTTAATATCTAAACTCTAGCTATTTTGGTTTTTTCAAAGAAGATTTTTAAGTTTTTACTATATGCATATAGAGAAATTCAATGACCCCTGAGGAGGGGCCAATTTTGACCCCAAGGGCTTTTATTTGAACAAACTTGGTAGACACTCACTAGAAGATGTTTCATACCTTTAAAAGAAGATACTTTGTCTAAGCTCTAGCTCTTTGGGTTCTTTAAAGGAAAATACTTTAAGTTTTTTTCTTTTGGTTGCCATGGCAACCAGCGTTCTATGAACAATATTTAGAGGTGACCACCAAAGAAACATTCCTGTGTAGTTTGGATGAAATTGGCTTAGTGGTTTATGAGGAGATGTCATTTAAAGTAAAAGTTTACGGACGGACGCCAGACGAAAAGCGATCAAAAAAGCTCACCCTGTCACTTTGTGACAGGTGAGCTAAAAATAGTTAAGTGATCTTATTTTCCTGGTGAAAAACTGGTGGCTCAATAAAGTTCTATACATATGAGCCGCGCCATGACAAAACCAACATAATGGGTTTGCGACCAGCATTGATCTAGACCAGCCTGCGCATCAACGCAGTCTGATCAGGATCCATGCTGTTCGCTTACAAACTCTATTACAAGTAGAAACTGATGGCGAACAGCATGGATCCTGATCAGACTACGCGGAGGCGCAGGCTTGTTCGGATCCATGCTGGTCGCAAACCTACTATGTTGGTTTTGTCATGACGCGGCTCATATTATATTTCAAATATTGGAAAGTTATCTCTAGTTCTTGGTGAAAGACTGGTGACTAGTTTTCTCTTCAATGTCATTTCTTTTTCTAATTAGATTAAGTCATGGGCTTCATGAGGCTTTCGACATCACATCTAAGAACTCTTTATCCAACATTGCAAAGGGCAGGCAGTCTCCTGGTATTCCAATTTCTTTTAAGTTTGATAAAACCACAATATTTCCATTTCTTTAGTGTTTCCGACATGAAGACACATCTACATGTATCTTTCATTATCACTCCTGCTTTTACTGTTCTATCATATAAGCGCCTCTGTTACCTGAAATATTTGTTTAGAAAAAGTTAATTGCAAAGTTAAAATTCCACTTGTAAACCCTTGCCGAGCTCGAACTTACAGCAGTGAAAGGCTTAAAGGTTTAAAGTCAAGAAACTAAACCAATCAGTCACAGACACCCCAAGTATTTTATCTATTTGCTAAGCAGCAATTTTTTCAAAATTATTTAAATTCATAAATGTGAGTGATTCTGATAAGCTATAGACAGCTAAGTGATGATAAGATGATCATATATGTCAGATAAGTCGGAATGCTAACACTGCTTACTGTGAATATTCAATATTTTAATGTGAATTGTCCTGAGGTAAAAACGAAAAGAAAGCTGAATTCCTAAATACATGTCACATGTCACAATTGTTCTTGCTATTAATTTTGTTCCTAATTTCTTGTATAAGATATTTAAATACACTGTAATTCTTTTTTATAAATTTGGCTTTTTGTGACAATAGTCTATCCAGTGACCGAAGCTCACCGACTTAAAATAAACTGTCCTGTGTCAGCCTTTAAACAAATCAAGAAAAAAAAGCTATTAGAATATAATAATTAAGAAATATCATATACAAATACTTCTAAATAATCATGTACCTCTTCCTTAAAAGCCCATGCTATTGAAAGAAACATTTTTTCCATTTGTTCACTTCAAGGTTAGTCAGATTGACAGTCTCACATTTTAGCCTTTATCTTTCGTGATTTCATTGTCATTGACCCTAAAGCATCCTTAAAATCGATATCCTGCTGTTCACATTCATAAATCTGACATGTAGGCCGAACTTCTGAAACATAAAATATAATTATTATTAGATATACATATAGTATCCCAATAATTATGTTAGTTGATATCAAATCAATAATTTAAGCAGTGTTCGAAATTAGCAGTAGTCCGAGAGCCCGACTACTAAATTTCTCCTTGGGCTATCAACTTTTCACAGTAACAAGCCCGACCAGGCTACTGTATTTTCAGAGGCAATATAAACAACTGTTTTGAACAAATGAATCGTGCTAGTGAAATGTCTTTTGGGCAAGTGAATATTCCAATCTAGTAGTCCGACCAGCCTAGTCGATTCAAATCCTAATTTCTTACACTGTTTAAGAAACAATTTGTTCAAAATTGTCCAAGCATAAAGATTTTTATAGTATACTATAGTAATTATAGTGTATATACTGTACAGTATGTATTAAATGTCTTTACTATCTACTATACTGTCCTGAAATTTCAAGAAAACAACTATCTTTAAAATCCATTTTCTCAGAAGTTGCAAAACCAAGTGAATGAAATTGCTCTGGGTTTGTATTATTCTGTACAACTTCTGATCACAAAAGCTTCAAGGACATTTATGAGTGAGTCAGGTCCTATCCTGAAAGATTGTTGTTCAAGTTTGAAGACAATCCATTCAAAAATAACAAAGTTATAGCCACTAATAGCAAAAAATAAGAAGATTTAGACATATACCTTGAATGTTCATATGGTGGTCAAGTTAATTTAGTTTAGTCTGGTCTATTTGAAGGGTTGTTGTGGCCAAGTATGAAGACAATACACCAAGATCTGAAAAAGTTATGAACAACTTCAACAAGGTTAAAGTTTGATGACAGCAATGGGAAAGCCGTCATGACTTACAATATATTTAATAATTTTGGCCCTAATGTCGGTAACTTGCAAGTCTTCTAACATTCTTACAAAGAATGAACATATATATATTTTCTCCTAATCTTAAAGATTATTTATCTTAAAGATAATTTCAAACAATATTTTATTAACTAAACAATCTATATCCTAATATATGGTTTTAATAGAGGGCCTAGTTGACCTGTCCCGAGTTGGTATAGGGCCGAGTTTACCTGTAAATTCAATAATGTAAACAATCCTTGACCTAATTTCGTTTGGCTAACAAATTAACATCTGCAAACACAAAACGATTTTGAACAAAGAAATAAAAGCATTTCCACAAACCTTTGCGATGTTATTCATCAGCAAATCTATGTCTTGGATGGAAAAAGCTCAAAACCACGAACGTTATTCTGTCGATGGTCCGAACAATGGCGGTGTGCCCTACATCAACACCAAGTTTTATCAAATTGCATCCGTTAATTCCAGAATACTCTTGAAAGACTTGTATTGTAATCTTGTTTTTTATTATTTATATAATAATATTTTTGTTTCAAACGCTTTGATTCTATGATAGTTTGCGAACCATTTTTTGCGAAAATAGTACAGTACAGAACGCCTTTTTAAGGCCACATATTGTATCCATTGTTTCCTCTTGAGTTATCGACGTAAAAAAATCAGCGGTGGCATAAAATGCTATTCAATAAATTGCTAAATATATACAATAAATACTTTCATTTCCTTCGGTTGATTTATATATGTGAACTTTTCAGCATCTCTGCTACAAAATTACACCTTATTTATATTCAATTTATTGTACATGGGTACATGGACACAAACTTTTCTTTGGCCTAATGCGTAATAATACTGATGTTTTTTTTTCGTACACGTTTAAGATTATGTTCCATTGATGTAAGCTAACATTGAATATCATCATTTCACGTTTTTTTGAACATCAGCTTTTTCTTCAAGTCATCCACGTTTGAAAGTATACATATAGTTCTGCTGCACTACTTTCTTGGTCGCACTAACTACTTATTTTCTATTGAGCTTAAACAGAATTCAATTAGGTGTTGTTCGTTCTTTTTCAATATAGGCAGACCGATAATATAGAAAGGAAATTTTTTTTTGAAAAAATTTCCTTCCAAAAAGCATATTTTCTGATTTAGGAAGATTGTATTTTTGTCCTCCAGAGGTTTGTGGTAATTGAGGAATATGTGAAAATTATCAATATTATACAGCAGACGAAAATATAAATGTTGGAATTTAGACAGATAGATGAACGAGAAGGCTTTAAAACAATTTCTCTCTTTTTTCCATCTTTAGTTTCATTCTGAGAAATTGTTCTACTCAAAACATCTTGTCAAGTTAAATAAATTACATCAACATTGTTCTCAAGAAATGATCGTTATCTACGTAATTTTTATTCCGTTTTTACTGTACCCGTATTTGAATGAATTCTCGTGAAAATCACGCAGTAAACGGGATCTGTAGTTGTATCCGGGTACCAGCAACGTACTCCTACTGTCTTGCAAGATAGACGAGTAGTTGCTTTGGCACAAAATCTATCAAACTTGATTATAGCAAACGATTTAATATCGTACTTGTACAAAAACCTTTTACAGAAGTATTATATCTTGCATAGAAGCTCTTTCTTCTTGCCTATTATTGAGATTAAATTGCCTGTACTAAATGTAAGAAGGCGTATAATAGAGCAAATCTATTAAATAATGGTGAACGGAAAAAATAAGTGCATACCAATTAGATAAACAATGTAAGTAGATTACGTCAAGTCCATTTTGTTTTCAATGAAATTATTTAATTGATAAATGATAAAACATTGTTGTTCAGCGTAGTCCTGATGGTCGGCTTTCTCTTTGATCTTCCGGATATAAATTCAGATATAGGCCATAAAACTTGATATACTAGCTGGTCGATACCATTGATCAAACGATGTTGGTGATTTTAACCTTTTGAAATCAGTTTTTTCATAGAAATTTAGACAATTTTATTGTAAGACAATTGTATCAAAACTTCTTGCGAACTATAGATCGTACAGCAAACGACGAATAAGGAAAGAAATTAATAAAGATTTTATCCTGGGAAAGCCAACAGCGACTTTGAAGCTTTCAATTCAAAGTAAAAATGAATAAGAGAGGAACATTTTGCATGATAGTGGTAATTTGGGTGATAACGGGCATAAAGTTATAAAAATAAATCGCGTTTGCGCAGCATCTTATCTAAGCTGCATTTCAATGAAACATGATTTAGGAATAGAAATAAAACATGTCACAAATGCAGACAAAAACTACAAGGATGTCTCAATCAAGTTAAAATTTTATCAAGATGCACTGCGAGGAAAAAGGAATTCATTCTACTGCCTGTATAAACAGTGTGCCTGTTAACTTCAACTTTTCAAAGTGTGATATGTCATTCTTGCATACCATAAAGTAATTATATCTTACTTTAAAGTGAGAAAAAGAACATTGAGGGAGTGATAGAGGTAAAGTATTATCTTTATATATACGTATTCATACTGGGACATGATATTAGTTCTCCTAGATTCATGTAAAACATTGTTATATAGTGAAATCGGGGGACTGATCCCGGATATGACGAATCCCGGACATGATGAATCCCGGTCATGATGGATCCTGGACATAATATAAAGACATTGGCGTAGAGACATTGTTAGTTGTACCATTTCACTTCTCCAATATGAGAGCATGATACATTAGCATTTTTTTTCCCATCATTCACTGCTTGAAAACAATCATTCAAAAAGAGATCAACATTAACAGCAAAGATACAAATGTCCGCAGATTTTTATTTTCATTTTCTATTTTTGTGTACGCACTTACTGAGACTGAACAACTTGATGTGTATTTTATCGTGAAAATCAAAATTTCTGTTTGTTCAATCATCATTCTCAAAACGGGCAAATTAACTTCTCCTCCAAAAAACACCATTATTTTCATGATTTTAAAGTACAGTGATCTAATATGAATCTATGATCATGGTAATATTTATGGCAATATTGTATCTCGGTGGACCTACTGTCGATGTTAGAGATTTGGTTATCAGGCGTGAACCCAGGAATAACCACGGGCACGTGATTACGCAATCTTCACTACAAGATAATAAATATGTTGTAACAAGAACGCTACTGATTCTCTGCTACAGAAAATCAACTATCAAAGTAATGATTTACCGCCGTTATCTATTGAAGAAAGATTGAAGATGAGAATTTTAAAATTTTACACATGTGTTTTAATTTTTGAAGTATTTCCCAGCACTTGATTTTACATTCGAAAGTTAGTCATGTATTTTGGTAAGATTTCCGGGGACGACAGCGAAATACTTTTTATGCGCATATTAGACAGAACTGGATAAAAAAAGAAGTTTGATGGTGAATTGCTTTTAGGTTTGTTTGTGTTCAAATTTTTCAAGATGAAGATTTCGGTGTTGATAGAGCAATACAATAATCAAAAGTGTATCCAAAGATATAAAGTAAAATATACAGTAATAAAATGATGTTTTATTCTCCTTTTCTTGTTTGCTTTATGCAGATCATTTAGTTCGATTGTGTAGGAAGCTATAAGCTTATAGACACACTTTCGAATCCGTTCCTGGAACCAACCAGTACTAAGTAATGAGTGATTCTTGCTGAAGGAAACAACGACTTTTCTCTTGTTTGTTACAAATACAATGGTATCTCAATATCTTTATAACTAAATACAGAAATGTAGCAAACCAATGGTTACATACGTAATCTAGTAAGACGGAATCTTTCGTAATTAATTGAATTATATTTGAACATGAACAAGATCGACGAAGGAGGGGAGAAACCGCATCACATCATCGATTCTGTTCTTTTCCCGAACATGTTTTTATTATGCCAATCACGATTGACGGAGACTGTAGATTCAAGGAATTATCTCGCGAGACGCAATGATGGCACGCGGTGCAGATGTTGGTGCAGATTACGTAAACAAGCAGCCAGTTTCGGGCTTATCAACAGATTATAATTGGCAACATGATCATGTCAGTTATAATTCTAACTACAATTATTAAATTTAATTATTTCGGTAGCTGGCTTTTTAATAAGGCTGATTCACAGACCGCCATGTTGTCGTATTTCTGAAATCTTAATTCTAGACCACCAACACAGAAATTAGCGTTAATTGTTTTACACAATTTACATGATTAGCATAAATTATTTGCCGTTTCAACAAAGGGGTATGTGTGGCTTGAATAAAACTGGCGGCTAACTTTTTTTCCTCAAATTATGTGCAATTATACAGTAGTTCCCTAGACAATCTATACAAAAAAAAAATCTGTCGCCAAACTTGGTTGCGTTTCTTGTCTGTCTTTCATTCTACCGAATTACTTCTTTCTTATTTATACATAGCAAATTGATATCAAAATACTAATAAAATGTTGTTTTTATATATTGCTTGTTTGATTAATTTAAAATGTTTTACAAATAAAATGAATCATGATTGATTTGGTCGTCTGTCCGGTTCAGATAAGGCAAGCCGTCTGGCTGATAAAATGTCGTCTGCGAGCGTTAAAATGTGCATAAAATATAGCAACTGTTTCCGCCGGGAATGTAATGAAAAACAGAAAAACTATGATACAATCTTATAAAAACAAATAAATGTGGTTTATAATACTAGTGTTTCGATAGATATCGGTTTGAAACTATATTTTTCAAAAATATAAGATCTTGAAATATCCGGTACGCCTAAATTATTACCTATAGTGTAAATAACCCTAAGCGCAAAGATTATTAGGGGGAAAAAAAATCAAATGTCATTTGTTTTATATCAATATCAATTGTCCGAACCATCAAGACACATTAAACGACCAAGATTAAAATCTGCAATGGAAATTTAAATTACTGATGTTGTTTTGGCGTTCTTTTCTAACAATTTCCATATTTTTTTCTTTTATGTACAAAAAGTACGTTAGTAAATCGTGTCCTTGTTGACGCCATGCACTGTTACGGGAAATATTCGAAGACAATATTGTTGTTCTGTTATATGAAAGCAGTGAATCAGTTTATTTTTTACAATCACAAATCACAAAACAAATAATTCAAACTTGGCCCATTTCTTGTTAAAAATATATCTAATATGAGAGAATTATTGAAAAATAATAATGTTGATTTGTTGATAATGAAACGCAGTAATACAGTTATATTTTCTTTTACAACCACAATCACAAACATAATTTTAAATTCAAAACTATACACATTCGTAAACATAAATTATCTAATGACGATCATTCTTAACAATATAAATAAGATATGATTTACAAATTATTGTACGTTAATTTATTTCCGCAAAGTCTAGATAACATTTGAGTATGAATAATTTTTCTTGATACATGTAATTATCAAATTTCAATAATTATTTTCCCTTACATAAAAGTGCATTTTGCTTAATGTTAAGTATCATGATACTTTTTTGTTGAACATATAACACAAAAAAGCGAACCAAAATGTTCTGGGAATAAAAAAATTTATTAAAATACTGAAATATATGGAGTATATTATACGATACAAATATCATAGTCCTTGAGTTCAGACTCTGAATCTGATCAATTTTCATCAATGGGCAATAGTTGAAAAGAATAAGCAGGGAAAATCAAACCTATTAAAGAAATCCAGCAGAATATAATGGATTAATAACATATTACACGAATATGGTTTATCCGCTCCCAACAAATTATATAAATAATTGCTTTACTTTTGTATATCAGGAGAAGACTGACTATCT